TATATATATATGTGTGTGTGTGTAAATATATATATATATATATGTAAATACACACACACAAATATACACACCCACACTCACATAAAGATATATAGATATATAGCTTTTAAAAATTCATTTCATTAGTGAAGTATGCCAAGGTATAGATAGTGCTTAAATGTCTTTTATTCTAAATATTTTAAAACAAGAAACTAAATTGCTAAAAGGATAAATCCCATTTTCATGTAATTCCTGAACTAATTTGTAGTGCATTTATTTGCTCACGCTTACCTTTGCCGAATCCTTTGCTTTACTTTCATTCTTGGGTGCTTTGGAACTGGAAGCACCCTTCTTGTTCTTGTCCTAAAGCAAAGGAAATGCAGTAATGCTATTGTTATCATCAATCCATCAAGCAATGAACCCACTGGCTGCAGTCGAATTAAACTCGACTGTTCCTTTTTGTGGCCTGTAGATCTCCAATTTAATTAAATAATAACATTTCAGTAACTATTTTTTAAACAATAGTGAATTTACACAGAAGTGCTTAAGAGAGGAGATAAAAAGACTAAAACTAAGTATGAAATGTGAGTCACATTGGTATTCTGCTAATTGCTGTGACAGAAGATTCATCCAGACCCTATTCTGTTCACCAAAAATATAAGAGATATCTGTTACCAAAAATATAAGAGATAACAAGTATTAGTGAAGGTGTGTAGAAAAGAGAACCCTAATACACTGCTGTTGAGAACGGAGGTTCCTAAAGAAATTAAACATAAAATGATCATTCAACCTAGAAATTCCTGTCCCAGGTGTATACCTAAAAGAGATGAAAGCATCATCTCTTAAAGATATCTGCAGTCCCATGTTCACTGCAGTATTATTTACAACAGCAAAAAATATCAAAATGAACTAAATACACTTAGAGGAATACACACACACACACACACACACACACACACACACTTCCTCTTCAGCCTTTAAAAAAGATCCTGCTATTTGTCACAACACGGATGCATCTGAGGGTGATGGTGTTAAGTGAATTATGTCAGATATGGACAGAACAGTACTGCATGATCTCACTTAGAAAACAATAAAAAGTACTCAGATACACAGACAGATAATGCAAGTGTGGTTACCATGGCTGAGGCAGAGTGAGAAGGAATCGTGGAGAGGTAAAGTCAGAGGAAACAAAACAGCAAAGTAGGATGAGCAAGCCTAGAGATCTAGTGTACACTATGAAGACTAAACTTAAAAATTATTTTGTATTAGAGACTTTTATTCAATAAGTAGATTTTAGATTCTCTTGTCTCAAAAAAGTATTGGAGTGACATAATGTTAACTGCTTCACTGTAGCAATCATTTTACTGTCTGTCTATTCCATAACACCATCATGTAAAACTCAAATACATGCATAATCAATTGTTGAAAAACAAAACAAAAAACCCAGAGCTTGTCTCCCTCTATCAGACTGCCTTTTATGTGCCAATAAACCAAAACCAAGACACTATTTTCAGTGTCATGGTGCAGAAATGTAGCAACAAAAACAACTGCAAAGAGTTGCAATCAGTTATGTATGAAAATAAAGTTCATTTACTAACAATGATATTATTTAGGAGTTTCCAGGAGTGTGAAACAGGAGGCTGAGGTGATCTAGAAATTAAATCACTCACTAAGGAAAGGCTACAACTCAGCAGTTGAGCTGGGCTTAACAACAGCTCCAAAGCAAACACCTGCAGAATTTATTCTTCTGAAAACCACAATTGGGATGCTCATTTCACTTGTATTTGATGTACAAGGGTATGGTTAATAAGAGAACCCCACACCTATTGACTTGCACATTAGCTTTCCATTCACTTTTGATCACATTTTAGCACCTACTAAATACCAGGCATTTGGATAATGCTGAGCAAGAAGTCACAGACTCATCACTACCATAGAACAGCATGGCTCAGTGGTGCACTAGACATGTGATGACAGGGAACCAGCGCACGGAGAAGGTGAGGGAGAAGCTGCTAAACTTGGCCTGGGGAGGCAGGAGAGTGAGAGGTCTCCCCAAAGAAGTAGGTACTTGAAAAGAGTCCTGAGGGATGAGGAAAAGTCAACCAGCTGGGCCGAGAGGAAAAGGGAAGAAAACTCCAGAGAGCAGATGGGCAGGAGAGAGCCTAGGGAGTGAGGGACCACTGTCATCGTAGACAAGCACAGTGTTAACTGTCACATCACAATATGGCAATGAAAAATGGTAGCCTTGGAAATTCCAGAGAAACATGGAAAACACTGGTGAAAAGATGTTAAGCAATGTGTTACAAATGGACTATAGGCACAACTTTGTAAAACATACCTGCAGGAAAAGACCAAGGAAATGTACCAAATAATACTGATTGTAATGGTGGTAGAATTCTACATATGTTCTCTCTTTTTTTTTTTAGTTCTCTATAGTTTGGAATTACATATATGTGCACACTCACGGAAACACCCATCTGTATATTTCAAAGAAAGTCTGTATGAGAAACACGACCTTTGCTGTGTTGGGTGAGGGTTCCGCAGTTGAGGGACAGCTGTCCAGATCTCCTGAGAGGACATCGATGGGGTCTTTGTCATCTGCGGGCTTCTGAGATATTAACAGAAATAACCACCATGAAGGAGCACAGGGAAAATGCTCCAGGGGCCATTTTCCCACATCATTTAAAAATGAAAGATGTACAGTTAAGAAAAAGAAAATCTTGCTGACATTCTTTTCCTTAGAGAATATAAAGGAATCAATAAAACATCAAAGTTTTGATAACTTTATTTTCTTCTCTTTAATGTAAGTATTCTCACCTGGAAAATAGTATTCCATGCCTTACAGGGCTTTTGTGAGTAATAAATAACAGGCCAGTAGCACACATACACTTATATGCATAACTAGGTATATAGGACCCAGCGCAGGGTAGGCGTTCAATAAATGTTAGTGTTTTTTTTTTTTTGGTATCAGGGATCAAACTTGGGGCCTTGCACTTGTGAGGCAGGCAGCAGAACCACTGAGCTAAATCCCCAGCTCAATGTTAGTTCTTTTAAAAAGTGATCAGAAGGTGTCACCAAACATGTAGTAATAAAGAATAAACTTTAAAAATTTTTAAAAATGCAAAATAAAGCTATTAATTTCAAAAATCTAATGGAACTATGATACTGTGGTATTTACCTTTGATTCTTTTGACTTCTTGGTAGGTGGCTTTGCTGGTTTGTTCTAAAAAACAAGGCAGACTACTGGTTAAGCATAGATCTTTCTAAAGACTTACTTGGGGATTGTCAGTATTTACAAAATACTGTGCAGTGACTTGGATAAGATGGCACTGAGATTTGTAATAACTGATAAAGCTGGGACTGTATCATTTTTTTCTACTAACTTAGCTTTACCCAATAACTATTTCAGTAGCTTTAGGGAAAATGTAACACAGACACTAGAAACTTTCTGCTATCAGGTGTTACAATTTTTAATCCCATTTCAATGATTACAAAAGGAACCTGCGTTTTCATATCTTATTAAACTCACCGCACTTTGAAAGGATCTGATTACTTTGCAGACAGGATTGTAAATACAACGCCAGGAATTAGCCCATCTTCAAAAGCAAGAGCACTGGATAATACATTCCCCCACAGAGCATGAGCAGAGGTAGTACCACCACGGGAGAGGGGAGGAGATTCTTAGGAGGATGCAGAAGCACTGCCTAGAGGAATATTTCATGGAATTGAGGAGACCTGATGCCCAGACAGAAAGTACGGAACCTGAGGGCACCCGCCACACGAATGGGTACAGAAAGAGAAGGATGTACCTCAGACTTCCTTCGACTTGATGAGCGGCCTGGAACAGCGTTATTTATTAACTCAGAAGCAGGACAGGGGAAACAGGAAGTGGGGGCAGGCTAACCTATGAAAATCAGGGTTCTACGTTAAGGATAAAAAGTGAGGGACTTTGACAGTGAAGCGGGACTTGTGACTGTGACCATGGTGTTCCCTGTCCTCTGTGGTGGAGGAGAGGGGTCTTGAAGTTGCCATATTTATGTGTCCTATTAAATAACCCAACGTGAGCCCCTTCTCTGCTTTTCTTAAATAGAGACTGCTTCCTTTGAAATCCCTTGGCTGTGGTTATTTTTACAGCCTTTCCTTGAAACAATAATTCTTCTTTCTACATTTCTAGGAATCCCTATTAAGCATCCATGAATAACTGGCCGTCAGTCAACTCTGTTTATGCCGCAGGGCCCAACTATGAATACAAAATGATGTTTGCTCGAATAAATATTAACAGAAATCTAGAGAGTCTTGCTTGTCACTGCCAGGGGCACATTAAAAGCAGTCGGTCATAATACATTTTTATGCTATTGTACAAGCGCGCATCCTGTATTCATTTCAAGAGGGGTTGTAAATGAAAAAGCTTTGCAGCATAAACCCAGTCCAGTGGTTTGCCTCGGGTTACCTGCCCGTCGCCGTCCAGGAGATGTCTGTATTCAGGCGGGATGGTGTCATCCCTTTCGCCCAGCTTGTCTCTGTGCTCAGCCTTAGCTTTTTCCTAGGAACATCACCAGATATAATCACCATTCATTGCATTCTTCACACAGAAATCCCTTCATCACTCATTTATTGTACTTTTCTCAGGCAAACCATATGGCCTGTTTTCATTTTTTTAAGCAACAGAACAACAAAACGGATGCAATGGACAGCTGGTGAAAACACACAAACCCACATGTTTCTGCGTCAGCCTGTCTATAGTTTCTCTGCTGGTATTTTAAATTGAAATGGAGGGTTAAATAATTGTCCTCAGAAACTACGTTTGCAATTATTTTTAAGACCAAAGGTACAAAATGGTGTTTTTTTTTTTTTTCCTGTTTGAGTTTTACTTTTCCAATGAAAAAACAGGTCACTGTACCTTGGCATATAAGGAGGTTATACTTACTACTTGGAATATTTTTTAAGCAATGATGAAGGAGCAGGATAGCAGTAAATCTGAATGGATGCATCAGTGTTTCCTGGGCTGCAGTTTTGTTTTGATTTTTTGTACTGGGAATCGAACTCAGGACCTCACACTTGCCAGACAGGCTCTGTGCCATTGAGAGACATCCCGACCCTGGGCTACTGGTGAGAAGCTGGGGCCATCTCAGCATCCCCACCGTGAAGCGAGGCTGGTCTTCAGCCAGATTCTATGGTCTATACAGAGATGTTTTTTCCTGCATTGTTATAATTTTTCTTTCCAAATACAGGTCAATTTCACATCAGTATTCTTACAATAAGAATAGAATCAAGATCTAAGGAACTTTGAAAGGCTCTGTCTTGGGGATACTGCTTGGGCTGGACAATTAATTACTTCTTGGTTCCAAAGCATGATCCAGACAGCTGAAATGGATTGCTAAGTACTGCGTACTAGTTAGCTTACATAAAGTGAGCATCTACTGTACAAAATATATGGAGTTAACTATGTGCTTCCAGACACACTCCTAGCCCAATGCTCTCTCATTCAGAGGTTGAACTCATTTAGTAAGGCCTGGGGAGAAGGCTGCTGGAGAAACTACCAACTGTAACCTCTACCACTACAAGCACAGGATGTGTCCATTAAATGGTGCATGTACATGTATATGAAGTGTATGATGTCCTTACTCTCAGACAAGACCAAGGAAAGTTAATGCAAGAAGATAACGAAGCTAAGAAAGCAAGCTCTGCTTTTCTGTTCTCAGAAACAGAACACAGTGTGTAATGGAATCTGTGCCATAAATATAACCTTCAGTGAGAAATAAGGAAATCCACATAAACCATAGAACAGGGAAAAAAATGAAACGAGTATTTCTGGACAATGGAAAAAATGTCTTTTTTCCTTTTCTGTTAAAGGTAGGGTATTTTATGCTGTAAAAACATTAAAATTGCACTGATTAGTGATTTTCTTTTACCTTTACTTTATCCTCCATTGGTTTGTTCTCATCTGGGTCAGGCTGCCTTTGTCCAAGGCTGTCAGAAAGTTTATCCAAAGCATCATCAAGTTCTTTGTCACTCTTCTAAAAAGTAAGCAATTCTGGATTAGTCACTGTTTGGCTAAACTGGAAAACTGCATCAGAAGCGAATCCGTCCAGTAGCCCCGTCTTTTAAGGACTAGTTTATTGGAAGAGCAAGACACCTGGGAATGTGACTGGGACATAAACAGAATCAGAGAAGTGCTGCGAGGGAAAGGGAGAAAAAGCAGCCACATCTTCAAGCTAATAATAGGGTTGGAGGACAAATGCTGTCCACCCACCTGCCCAGCTCCTGGTGATTAACCCCCTCCAGCCTGTGAAAGTCTTAGTGACAGTGTCAGGGACCACATTCCAGCAAGAGACCTAATGGAGATCACCTAGAGGGTCTCGATTCAAATGAACCAATATTTTCATTTTGAAATTAAACATGACAAAAAAAAAAAAAAAACACCTGGATATGATAATCCTCTGATGTCAGGTGTTTAACAAGCAGAATTTTTGAAAACTGGATGAACATTCCTTTGGCTTTATGAGCACACTCTACGATCAGATCCAGAGGGGTACATTTCATTGAGTACAGCAGGATCAAGTACGGGCTGTGGAAAGCCATGGAAGCCAGTGCCCAATACCTCCGTGAACACAAAACCTCAGAGACAATCTGGTACCACAAGAGTGTAGAGGGCTTCTCTGCCACATTGGGGATAAGGGGCTTCAAAAGACCGAGGAGAAATTCTGAACTGGCGGGCAATCTGAAACAATTTATTTCCCTGAACATTGGCTTACTGTATGATTCAGGTGGAGGAAATCTCTCTGAGCCTAAATTTCCTGAGCTGTGAAATGTGAATAATAATGCTACTTATAAGTTGATGAGAGGACTCGATGTTGGCAACCAGTAAATTATACATTCTCATTAAGAATATTATAGTGAAATCTCAAGAACATTTTTCAAGACATTTTTCTAAAACAATGTAGGTGTTTAATATCTACATTATACAGGACATCCTGCTGGGTTCTATCCAACACTACAGAGAATTTTCCAGTTATTTTAAGTTTTATCCAGTTTTATTTGGCACCCATAACAATGTTCTGGATAACCTGGCAGGATTTTTTTTTTTTTGGGAAACAAATCTGAAGTCAAGTTGTTAAAGGGAACCCAGGTCTCTGCATTGAATTTTTCCTTGTCATGCTCGATCACATCCAAAATCTTCCATGTTCTTCTGAATCAGGTTTTCCTGTTGGGCAATTTTATTGTACAGCTCTTTAAACACAACTCAGGATATGTTCAGTGTCACTGCTGATGATGGTCTGACACCCCCAGAAAACAAAGCTCACAGGAATTATGACGTTTCGGTTGACTCTTTGATACTCAAGTATATTTATGTAAATGAAGTTTTTTAACCTAGTTTTAGTGACATCATCAAATAAAACTAACTTAAAACTAGACGCTGTTGGGAAAATGATGTGAGAAGAATCATTGTGAAGGCGAAAGGCTTTTGATTGTTAATATTACTAATAACCTCAATTAAGGCAAAAACCCTCTGGCTTGTGTACATATAAGGATGAACATGCAGAAGAGTTATTATGGATTCTTTCTTCCTGTTGCATGGGGATTTTCATCATTGTGGATATGTTCACACACACATGCATAGGCACACACACACACGCGCGCACGCGTGCTCGCGTGATGTTTTGCTGGTTTAAGCTCTTCGTTAGAGTTCAGGCTCATAGCTGCTAATGGTAGAGCTTCCTGGGGCCCAGTCTGGACTCTGTCAGCTGTGCCTCTGGATATTTTCGGATGATCTTGAGCTGAACCAGCAGGATGAAAAATGCATTCGAATCTCAAACTACAGCACTAAGTAAGCTTTGATGCTACATCAAAAAGAAAGAAAGCACAGCTGACTTCAGGACAGCGAGTTCATTCATCTCCATCTAGCAAACAAGGCACAATTCTCAACCAGAGAGGATGGTGACCTGGTGTAAGGAAACCCCTTCATCTTTGATGCTGTGGATAATGTATAATTTGGCACTGCACAGATAATTAATCAAGAAAGTCTGGAAAAAGCTCTGGTCCCACAGCCTTGCCTCAGAGCATGTAAATAATTAAAACAATATTGACGCTCAGGTTTTTCTACTGCTAGCATGAAAATGACAAAGTTTTACTAGTATGAATGAGAAGAAAACAATGCCATTTCATGAAACGTTTGTACATTTTTTTGGCGATGCTGAAACACTAAATAAGTGCATAAAATAAATGATGTTAAACACTGGATAGAAAATTACAGCATGTAAAAAATCATAAAGAAAAAAATCAATTACCGAGCAAAGTAAGAAAATTTAAAAATCTAGTACGCAATATATACATGATGCTTATTCCACATTTGCAATTCTGCTAAAGCAACAGTAATATTAAGTTTCTTGACTGTACTATCATATATTTCCATTTATTCATTTTACAGATATTCTCTTCCTGAATCATCTTCCTGAATGACAAATCTAAGCTCTTCAGAAATGGAGGGTACATGATCTTTCTAAATAATTTTGTCTATTTGATTTTCTCTGAGCAACTGTCCTATTTTATTTCTCGTTGCGGTTCCTAGAACAAACATTCATCTCCGAATACGATATGACACTCACCGCAGTGTCTGGGGGTGGGCCTGCTGCGTGGGTGGCTGAAGCCGGGGTTTGGGAAACCACTTCAGAGACGACAGCAGAAAGTTTAGCATCGTCAAACTTCTTTCATTAAGAAAAAAAAATTATCAGTAATATGTTGTACAGAACATTATGCCCACAATGCCATAACTTCAAATACAACTCTTAAGAAACCTTTATGACTGTTCATTCTTTAGATTCAAATAGCAAATAATCTTAAAAGCAATTTTTCTGCTTCCTTTGCCATCACATTATTTTAAATGATTTTATTTCATATTTATTCTTGTAAATGTTTTTCAATAATCTAATGACCTAGAGTTCTGTGATTTATTTACATATATCCTGTTGCACATTTAAGGTATTCAACATTTTTCAACTTTTTCATAATTAGTTGCTCTATGTAAGTGCTAGAAATGAATCTTTTTATAGTATTATCTACTTGGTATTCCACTAAACTTCTCAGAAATGGCTAGGAGTTCATACTGCTTTAACAAAGACTGAGCATATATATTTCCCGTGGTCTTGCTTGCAGAAAAATTAAGATTTTCATCACATGGTGACATTTTAGCAATTTTTTTACATCTACAAATTTAAGTGATTTTAGTCAGCATTCAATGAGGTTTTAAGATGTGGACCATAATCACTTGTAGAAACAGCTATGGAACATCACCTTTCGGTGACATTCTTGTGTCACATGAAAACTATCTCAGTGTTACATATTTAAAAGAATTATCTTTAAACATATGATGGAAAGAAAATTTAAGAACAGTTCTACTCTCCTCTTCAGTTTTCCCTTGTTTAGGCTTTACAAATTGTTCTACTTTGGTTTTTTTTTCTGTTTAAAATGTCATAGAAAATTGTTGCCAATGATGTTTCCTAATACTTTAATTTAGCTCTTTTACTAGTTGTCATATGTTCAAATTTTGGAATTAAATTTTACTTTATTTTAAAGTTTTTTTTCCCTATTATATCTGCTAGTGCTTTATAAAATATTAAACATTCATAAAAACCAACAAATGACTGGATTTGACCAATCAATAACTGAATTGATCTCTTACCATAACTGTTACCTTGCTCTCGTTTTGAAATTTTACTTGCAAGATTTTTCTTCTCTCTTACATTTGCCGGCATCTTAGAAAGCATTAGTTTTTTAAAATTCAACAAACCATGCGACTGTTTTCATTTCCTGGGGTGCTTAGTGCTATACTTAGTGCTATGTTCTATACTTCCTAGGCTTTTTTAGGGTAGTTACTTTTTTAGAAACAAACTCTAAATTCAACAAACATTTGATTTATCAAGTTTTTCTTTCCATTACGGATAAAAGCATTATCATGATCTATTATGATAATAGAAGCATCTCACAACTACTGCTTTGGCCATGTCTCAAAGATTTTAATTTGAAACATCTTGATTTTTTTTTAAAAATAGTCTACTCTGGGGCCGGGGATTTAGCTCAGTGGTGCCACGCCTGCCTAGGTCCTGAGTTCCTAAAATAGCCTATTCTGAATTTAGATCCTGATTTCAATATTATTAGAGAAATATTTTTAAATTTCCATCTTTAAATAGAATTTCTGTTCCATTTTATTATGATTAATGAACATAATATAAATCATTTCTCCCCAAAGTTCTTGGGACCATTCCCCAAATGATTTTCTGGTTTGACCATGTGGTTTTTTATTAAATCTGTTTTATTAACTATACTGTTGGCACTATTAATTATTTTCCTTTGCTAGACTGTTAATTTTTTTAAGAGTAGTAATTTATAAGGGTTTTTAAAAAAAATCTCAAATCATTTCTCTTCTTAAACACCTTCTCAAGGTGAATGTGGTGATGTCATATAAATTCAATGCTCCAGTTTCAGTTCCTAAAAGAGCTATAACTATGGTAGTAATAATAATGTCAGTCATAAAGAGAAAGAAAACTAAGGCTTACGCACCATAGCTGGCTTACATGGTCTCCGCTGTTGCAATGAGAAGATTCCGTATTCCTGGGATACTACTCGTACTGTCTCTTTCCCTATATCTTACAGTCAGCCTCTAAGTCAGGCCTGGGTGCCTCTCTGAGATATGTTCTGCTTATATGGAGGAACTCAGGAGGAAGGTCCTCGGCTAGTGCCTGCATGGCATGGTGCTTTTAGGGGTGCAGTGAGGAGTTTATGCTGGGTAGCAACCCCTTTCTGAGGGCTTACTGCCTCAGCAAGAGCAAATACTCAGGCAACTCCAAGGAATCATCATTTCTTACTCTAGATTCCAACTGATAAATTTTCTATGCCGTTATCCACATAGGACTCTGATAAAGTGTTTTCCAACTGACTGCCCATAATATATTCAGTGGCTTAGAAACTGTTAATAGATAACCGAGACCTTAGAGACTTTTATAAGTTTGAGAACTCTTAACAGAGTTGTATGCATGCCTATGGCAAGACATAAACATCCTACATAAAGAAGCCCACTTGGCATTTATTATTCAACATCATCCAAACATTCCTGCAAAAGAATGCCCTTAGGAGGACTATTATGCATGGAGCTAAGTTTGCTTAGGAAGAAATTTGGAAAATGATAACTATTAGAAATAACAGATAATGTGATCTACAAAATGATTCTGGATAAATTGAAACTTACATTCTTTTTCCTGTGAGGAACTGGTGATATAAGTACATGTTCAGTGGTCCAGTTAGGAGACTGTGGAAACACTATCTACTGTTACAGAACAAAATTTCCGGGTGGAACACATTTTTATGGGTCACAGTAGGTTGAGGACCATTAATTTTATAACTGTTTCTTTAGCTCCCAAGTCAGACTATAGGGTACAAGTTTCCATTTATTTCTACCAAAAATAAGGTAGGAGTCTGGGACTTACAAGAGAGGAGGTATCTGCAGGACTGGAGAAATCCCGAGACAGTGCATCGAGAAGAAAGTCATCACTCAAGGGCTGCAAAACCCGGAAAAAGTATCAACAAAAACGACCAACATCTGTCTGCACTTGCAAATGTTGTCCATATTACATGCCAATCAGCCCAAACTTTTTAAATGTACAACTCAATAGTTTTATTCAATGATATTCAACGGTATCCAAATATATATTAAACTATCAAGATCAATATTTGAAAATATTTATTACCTCCAAAGACAACTGTATGTTTTGGCTATCAACTGTAATCCCCAATCCCCAAGCAACCACTGATTTACTTTTTGCCCCCTATGTCTTCCTAGACATTTCCATGTAAGTGGATTCATGTAATGTGTGGTGTTTTGAGACTGGCTTCTTTCATCTATCATAATGGTTTCAAGAATCATCCATAGTGTATTACACTTCAGTACTTCATTCCCTTTTAGGACTGAATACCATTCTGTTTCTTCCCAAATTATCAGTTAGTAAACAGTGCCAGGAGAGAGATATACTCATAGAAAACTGGTTTGCTTACTGGAAGTGGTTTCTTGGCCTCTTTTGGCAGGAGTGGTTTTCCATCTTTATCCTATTTAGGGGGGAAAACACCACTGAATCATTGCATACTTTATCCCCACAAGGAAACTTGTACCTATTACACAGAATCCATAGATTATACCTGCTGCTGTATGCTTTAAATGGGACTCATCTTTGCAGGAAACAGATTCTATCAGCAGAGAGTGCACTATTATTAAGTTCCTATCAGCTCGTTGCTCACAGGCACTAGGTATTCCCAAGGCACAGGGTCTGCACACCAATTATGCATTACTTGTGCCCAAAAAGCCCAGAGACCAGCGGTGTAGGAGAAACACACACAACCAATGTAGTGCAGTGTGTGGTGGTGTGAAGGGGATTTGTGGGACAGTGCAAGATGAGCTCCTTGCTGACCTGAGATGGGTTTTGAAGAGATTGCCTGGAAAATTCTGGCTAAATCCATAAACCATGCATCCAAATAACATGCTTTATCTATGTGCCAAGCCCCAACCTATGCCCTGGGAATGCACAGAAGATAGCAACAAGTCCTGCCCTAGGAAGCTGGCCTTGTGGACGGGAAACTCAAGGTTCAAAAAAACTTTGAAACTGTTCAAGGCTCTGAAACTCAAGGTTCAGATTTTGTCTGGCCTTACATGGCTCTAAGTGCTACTCTTGAACAAAAGGACAGAAGTGATAAATCATTTGGGCTACTAAGTGGAAGAAGATCCTGTAAATTAATGGTACATCCCATTCATCCACAGAGACACAAATCTACAGATCAAAGGATGTAGATGAAGATTTCTTCTGAGAATGTTGTCAAAGTGGGTTTTTATTCATTTTGCTGCATGTCTTTAAAATGTGTAGTACAAGAGGTCTAGAGATGTCACCTGGTTCCCTTAACATAAACTCCTCTATCTCTTTCGTTCTGCACTGCAGTTCACTTGCATCTTCTGCGCTCCTTTCAATTTGGAAGGAAAGCAGAACCTGGGCCTGTTCTTGTACCACCCGTTCACTGCAATGGCATAAATGAGCCAGGCCACACATGGGATCAGGGGGACCTTACTGCTACACAAAGTGAAACTGATCTCCCATTCTCGCGCAGTGAAAGGTGGTCTAGGGCAGTTACTCTTCATTGAAGGTTGCAGGTTAGTTGCTTTCTGCTTTCACTGAATTTCAGTAGCAGTGTTTCAGTGATTAGCTTTCCCTGACCCCTTGATTTCATGGTGGTTTCATCCTCCTCTGAACTTATTTTGCGTATTGTTAGTTATCTGTTGCTTTACAATGCTTCCAGATGTCTGCCTGATTTCTCATTTAAATGCTGATTTGTTATCCATCAACTACACTGGCATGGGGGGGTGAGGAGCAGCTCCCTGAGGGCAGACTTCAGACTTCTTCTTCCCAGCATTCAATGCTGAGGTTCACCCATCCACACATCTGCCCTGGTTAAGTGACTGCATTTCACTTATGAGGTTCACAATGGGGTCTTTCCTTCTATCACTTAATTCTATAAACCCGTACTTTAAACATAAAGGAAATGGGTCAACTTACCACTTTATTCAATGTTAAACAGGGATTCATGTTTTCAATTTACAACTAGAGTTGCAAATTTTTCCTAGTAGAAAATATGTTTCTCATTTTCTATTTCCTACCTGCATAAGGTTTTCACTTTTTTTTTTTTGGTACCAGGGATTGAACTTGGGACCTTGTGCTTGTGAGGCAGGTGACAGAACCACTGAGCTAAATCCCCGGCCTAGCATAAGGTTTTGTGCATCCTTGTATTGCAGCAAATCACATGTTTGATAGGAAAACATATGTAGCTTAGCCATTATATTTCTTTCACCTAAAGGACTGAAAAGTCCACTTATGAGTATTTTAGCTTTAGATCTGGTGTTCTAACAGGATATTTGTGGGCCAATGCTACTTAGTGTTTTAAATATTAATAAACAAGATCTTTATATTGCAGAACTATTCCCATGTCTTTTCTGTATGTATATCAAATTGATTATTCAAAATAAAACATGAAAATATCCCGGCCTGTTTACCTTGACTTCTTCTAATCTATAATCAGGAGGAATTGTTTCTTCTTTTTCACCGAGTTTTTCACGGTCTTCTTCTCTGGCTTTCTCCTGAATAAAAATCATACCATTTTCATAGTTAACATATCTTGTTTTCTATGAAGTGGATACCTGGGTGGTTAAAATTTGAAGTAAACTATTCTGTCATTAGGCTCCTACACACACGAGCCTTCCCCTGGCAATTTAATCTTTGGTACAGTATCCACTTCTAACAGGCTCAGAACATCCCACGCAGGTTGCTGGGTAAGAAGCAGACTGTAAGGAGCAGTGGGAAGCAGCTGCTTCTCCCAGTCCTCAGTGCTGGGAATACAGGTGAGCGAAGGTGAAATTCGGCACATGTGGACCTACGCGTGCTACTCATCTACTGTGGTGTTTAGACACTGGAGCTTCCTCAGGTTAAACTTATGAAGCAGGATATGTGCAGTAATAGAGAAAGTCAGCTGGTCATGTTTTGTGGATTATACTTTTTAATCAAAATTTATTGGAGAGGGCTTAATGATAATCATTTTCTTAAAGTATCTGAACTCCCCTACCTTGATTTTATCCACCACAGGTTTTCCTTCTTCTGGATCTGGCTCCTTTTTCCCCAGGCTTCCAGCCAAGGCTTCTACAGCATCATCTGGCACTGTGCTCTTCTGGAAGGACACAGGCAGAAATACTAAGTAGGAGCTGAGCCACTTACACTCTATCAAACAATTCAGAAAGGCGTGTCTTTATTTGGAGCCTAGATAAGGAGGATGTACCACCCTGTAATAATCTGAATTATCCACTGAATTAGAATTGGTGTTGAGAAACTGAAACGCTAAAAATGAGAACAAGTCTCTTACACTAAACATTAAGTGTGTGTAATTTATATACTGACATCGACGAACTTACAAAATTTATCCTGAATTTGGGTTCAGAAACAAAGGCAAGGAAGATCAGAGAAACTGAAAGCCAGGAAAGAAGAGAGAAGTGGTCTTTGTGAAGATCCTTGTATAGACGGTATAGGAAAGATTTCCAGCAAGCCAGGAAAACCTTCTTCCTCATTCTCTGTGGCGCAGCCTGGCCAGCAGGAGGGGAGGAGGAATGGGGAGTGTTTCCACTATGGGACTTCTCCCATCCGGACAACTAACCTGGCAGAACTGTGAGAGCCACCCGTTGTGGTCCAGGTGTTCAAAACGAAACATGCTCCCTCATGAGGTCAGGAGCTCTGGCCACACTGGCATTTAAAATGACCAGAAGGACACTAAGCAAAAAAGATGAAACCAGGTTTGCGATACAAGATAGCACAAGATCTGGCTTCTCCCAGCTAATGATCCATACATTAGTGGCTCATAAGAATCAAGTGAATGGTTCCTGGCCATGACTTTTCTTTTTTTTTAATAGGCTACAAAATAGAATGCATCATATATAACATGGATAAGTACCATTTATTAGACTGTTTTTTCCATTTTCTCTACTGGGATGCAATATCAATGAACTTCCTACTATTGATTTTGGTCAAACAAACACATGAAAACCCTTGGACTAGCCATTCTCAGAGTTTTTCTCTTTTGATATTGGAGATTGGGCATGCTAAGCCAACACTGTACTGCTGAGCTACACTCCCAGTCCTCAGCGTTTATTCCTGTCATGAAAATCTCTGACATCACATCAAGGGTCTACTGGACTTATAATAAAAATGTCTTCATAATAAAAATATTTTCCTACGATATTTTATTATATATTTATATATAACATAAATATATACTGACATATATGTATATGTGTATATTTCTCAGCCCTCATCCTGTTAAATAAGAACAACTGTTGCCGGGCATGGTGGTGCATGCCTATAATCCCAGCAATAGGGAGGCTGCGGCAGGAGGATCGCTGTGAGTTCAAGACCAGCCTCAGTGCATAGTGAGTTCTAGGTCAGTCTCAACTACCCAGTGAGACCCTGTCTCAAAGAACCAAAAA